TTTCGTATCTTTTGCAGTTTGAACTATATTGACATTTTTTATTTAAAAAGAGAATTTCACTTCTGTAACTATTTTATTATGGAACTTTAAATATAGACGATCAGGAGATCTTGGCTCTCACTGGCCAAGCCGTAGTATGACGTCAATGGCTTCTTTTGTGTGATTTCATCCCTTTAACACAGAAGCTTACTATCTAGGCTACATGTATCTCCCAGGAGCACGTCAAGGAGTTCCCAGGAAGTACGCAAGTGAGTTTTGAGGTGTTATTATCACTGATTGTTTTTAATTTATTTATTTTCAATATTTAATAGACAAACATTAACTTCGCAAATATTGGGATAGCCTTGATTAATGAAAGTGATATTTTAGCGCTATAATCCACGTGTCAATTAGGCATCAGCACTATAATGGTGGTGCTCAGCCTCATGAACGCGTTGGCGTTACTTTGGTTCAGTAACACATGCGACTCCCACGTTACATGTTCAAACATGCAACGTGAGTATCGAAGTACTCAGGCTTCATGAAGCCTAGCAATGATTTAATATTAAATTTATTCTGTCATTTTCTTTGCATACTGTTATGCTGACAGTAGCATTAAGATGAAAAATTTTGATATACAAACTATACTTATGTTCTGTGGAGACGAATAACGTTATCCGTAGAGGCAGAGAATGAATGAGAGTATAGTGGTCCCAACACTCTTATATGGATGCGAAGCATGAATTATAAATGGTGCAGCAAGGAGGAGGCTGGAGGCAGTGATGTGTCTGAGGGCAATTTGTGGTGTAAATATTGTGCAGAGAATTCGTAATGCGGAAATTAGGAGGTGTGGAGTTACTAAAAGTATTAGTCAGAGGATTGAAGAGGGGTTGTTGAGGTGGTTTGGTCATTTAGAGAGGTTGGAGCAAAATAGGATCACTTTGAGGGTTTATAAATCTGTAGTGTAGGGGAGGAAGGGGTAGGGGTCGTCCTAGGAAAGGATGGAGGGAGGGAGTAACAGAGGTTTTGTGTGCAAGGGCCTTGGACATACGGGAGGCATGTGTGAGCATATTAGATAAGAATGAATGGAGACGAATGGTTTTTGGGACTTGACGAACTCTTGTAGTGTGAGTAGGGTAATATTTTGTGAAGGGATTCAGGGAAACCAGTTAGCCGGACTTGAGTCCTGGAGGTGGGAAGTACAATGCCCTGCACTTTAAAGGAGGGGTTTGGGATATTCATTGTTTGGAGTGACATCTAAACTGTCGTATCTGAGCACCTCTGCAAAGACAGTGATTAAGTGTGAATGATGGCGAAAGTGTTAAATGTTGGTGAAAGTGTTTCGCTCTTTCTTTGGGCCATCATGCCTCGGTGGGAAACGGCCGACATGTTGAAAAAAAAAATATGTTTTGGTATGCTACTAGGCTAGCACAACTCATTTACTGCAATTAACATTGTACCTCGTTATCTTAACTGTTTTTTTTTTTTTGGTAAACCGTAAAATTAAAATATATTAAAAAAAGGAGTAAAGCTTATAACTTAGCATGTTTTTTATGGCTTGATATGGCATAGTCAACAGTGCCATGAAAATTGCATTCGGTACAACCTCACTTTCATCATTAAAGCAGCAGGGTATCCACAACAACAGTGTTGCAAGGTTCTGTCAGATTTTGTGTCTGCCATCCTACCTGAAAAGATAAGGATGTTAACTTTCAAACGTATGAAGCCGGATTGAAGCGAGGTTTCGATCATTCTGGTCAATTGCATCAACGGTCTCATGCGGAGCTTCTTGCCTCATACAAGGTAACATTGCAAGGGAAAAGAAAGCACGCTCAGTTGTTGAAGCCGTTATTCTTTCCTGTTGCAAAGTATGACTGGAGATAATGATGAATGGAAAATAGATTCTGCACCTGTATCAAACAACACAGTTCAGTTGAGAATTTCTGATGTGGCAGATATCAAACAAGAAGTTTTTTGCTGAGATCAAGAAAATTCTTAACAGCAACTTTTCAGTACAGCTCAAGAATCAACAGATGTGCGTAGTTGTGCTCAGTTACCTTCGTTCGCAAGGTATATCAATTATAGAGACATGAAGTATTCCTGTTACGTCATTTTATAAGGGGCCTCAACAAGAGAAGATATTTTCCAAGTGGTCCCCTCATTCTTCAAGAATGAGGGAATGTGTTGGAAGAATTTCTATGCATGCATGTCTGATGCAGCAGATATACTTAGCGTTTGCTCAGGATTTACAGGCCGAATGAAAGAGGTAAACCATCAAACAATAAATTGCAAAATTCATCGATATTCCTTATCATCCATAACACTGTTACGTGAGCTTTGAGAGGTCCTTGATGATGTAGTCAAATAGTAAACCTCGTTAAGTCCAGTGTAGTGAAGAGTCATTTCTTTCGTCTGTTGTGCCAAATTTTTATTGATAAACATTATGTACTACTTTTCGACACTTAGTACGGAGTCTCTTACGAGGAAGTGTAGTTGCTAGAGTTGAAGCCTTGAGAGAAAACATAGCTGAATGCTTTTTCTTGAGATGGCAAGACACAATCTCAGGTTTTCTACAGAAATCTGTCAAGACCTCAACAGATACCTGAATGGCATATTTTATCGTCAGAATAAACAGTGAATACGTCTCTACAAACACCATTCACAACAACAACTACTATTACTACTACTACTACTACTACTACTACTACTACTACTACTACTACTACTACTACTACTACTACTACTACTACTACCACCGCCACCACCATCACCACTGCTACTAGAACCACCACCACTACTACCATCACTACTACTACTACTACTTATACTTTCTTTTCGTTACACTACTCCCGTCCCCCCCCCCATCTTCGTATATATTCTGGCTGCCTTCCCTTAACGCTGTGTGTGTGACTAGTTAATGGTCTAAATCGGACCGAAACGTCGTCATAAGTTTCAGTCTTCTACATGCGGATTATTTGTGTATTAATTAATGTCACTGATTAAATTAGAACGTTATTAATCTGGGAATGTGGGTATAAAATGTAGCGGTAGGAAAATTTCAAATGTTTGAAAATTTGGTGACAGTTCTTAAGGACGGAGAATCTGATTCTACTGACCTCAGTCAGCTTATTCAGAATCACACGTCTTCCTTGCGTAATGAAATTAAGTCTTCTCAGACTTACATAAAATTCTCGTTTAACTAATTCACTCTGGATGTGAACTCACTTCCTGAGAGTGAGCAAGAGGAATTTGTAGATTTTTTAATGACTCAACTGTTCCCGATAGTGACTAAACTCTGGTCACACATGACCCAGTCGTACCCCACTAGTTGACATTAAGATTATAACAAAGCTTTTAAGATTTGCAAAAGGTTCCATGTGAGCTTGGATTCTGTTTTGGCATCGTTGATAAAAAATTTTGCGCATGGCTCTTTGAGGGGGGTGACTTCATGGTGTCTCTGTCATCAACAACAATCGGAATACACAGATAACCCGCACATGATAAAAATCTTTATTTGTACAAGTACGTGTGCAAGGTATACAGGCCTAGCTGACATCAGTGACATACTACTATACAGAAAGCCAGATACCCATTTTACTGATGGGGAACATAGACAACCGGTGTAAGGAAACACGCCCAATGTTTCTACCCTAGTCGGGAATCGAACTGGACCCTGGCCGTGTGAAGCGAGAGCTTTAGCCACTAGGCCACGGGGCCACGTAGGAGAAAGAAATTTATGACGACGTTTCGGTCCGACTTGGACTATTAACTAGTTCGGAACTGAAGCTCGGGCTTTCAGTAAGCAGGTACATCCTTCAGACTGAATTTTCCAGGAACCATAACAAGTGTCATGTGCTTTCGTTTCACAGGTTATATATTCTTTATTTTATAAGCATATTGTTCCGTCTGTCATTTTGTTTCAAGGGATTTTTCCGTAGAGATATTTTTTGTAGCATCTCTATAAAGGGATACCAGGTTGACAATACAAAATGTGAAGTGGCAGACGTTTAGGAACCGCTGCGGTTGAGCAAACCTTTCATGACTGGTGTGCTGAGCATGAGGGATCCTCCATTCAGCTCACCTGATCTCTAAGTCAGCGTTCATGATCTGATTTAAGGGTCTTAAGACTTCTTTTTGGGGCTTCATAACGTCATTGTTGCTTCGGTTAATGAACGTATAAATAACTTCCAATTCAGAAATTGAGTACTGACCTTCGAGGTTCTTTTAATAACAATGAGAAGTTTGTGTAAGTAAAGTCAGAAGATTGTGGAAATAAAGTGGGAAGATTGTGGAAATAGAATGGGAAGATTCTGGAAGTAAAGTGAGTAAATTCTGGGAGTGAGAAGATTCTTGTAATAAAGTGGAAAGATTCTAGAAATAAAATGAGAAGATTGTTGAAGGAAATTTAAGAGATGCACCAAAAAGCAGATGATGAGAGAGCCGGAGGCTGCAAAGACACGTCAGTCGACTGATAGTTAAAGGTTAGTCCAGGAGCTTGAGCTGAACTTCACCTTTTCTCCCCTTAGATCGAACCCGATTACTTCCCATTCTCAAGTTGCTGTATAACCCATGTGGGTTATAATAATAATAATAGAATACATACATAAAGTATGTATTATAGCAATCTTTTAACTGGTAATGTATATGCCTGTATTCTCAGTATAATGTATATTTTATCTCTCATTCTCATTAGGAAATATAGCATTATACATGTAGGAATAAGATTAGTAATTACTGTATATCCTACACAGTTTTCTCGGTGTATACGTAACTGTATACGTGTAGTCATACATGCACTACGTGTAGTCATACATGCACTACATGTGTGTGAAGGTATAACTGATCACATCTGTGGGCATACCTGATCACAACATAAGTGTAAGCATAACTGATCACTACATGTGTGTAGGTATAACTGATCAGTGCATATGTAGGCATAACTGACCTGTATATAAGATATATATCTTATTTGCATATTTTATTTTATTTTGGTTTAGGTGTGGGAATATAAAACGTGAAAATAATTGAGATTTGTTTTATTACAAAATATAGAAACTTTCTGAAGCTTAGGTACAAAAAATGTTATCACAGATGTAGGTGTACAAGCACGCGTTAACAATAAGAACAACACTCAAGTCTTTGGTATCGTTTCAAAAAGCATTGAATAGAGCGCTGAAACCCCCGAAAATAGAATAAATGCCAGGAGGGGCAAATTAAGGATAATCTTAAGTGTGGGACGATTGGAAACCTGATTTTGAACGTCATTGGTGTGTCTGCTAGTCAAGCAGGTAAAATACATCCTGTGTTTACAATGTCTCAGCGTATGATAGTAAAAATCTTAGCTTCAATAATTTCAACGTTGGCTTAATGAGGGAATGACTGAAGTTTGAGAGAGAGAGTGGTGGTCAGACTGCTGTATGAGGCGAGCAGGGTAGAGAGTGGGCAGGCCTCAGGCAAGGCCTACACAACCGTCTCATTGGCATGTGCAACTTGTTACGTTCTTCCTTGTCCAGAATGATGAGATGAGTCATGGGTCTGGGCGGCGGAGAGTTACGGCCAATCAGAGATCCAAGCATTTTGGTTACGGAAATCTTGCGAAGTTTGGGAGACCCTCCGCTCTGGTTACCGTTACGCTGAGCCTTGACTTCTTTGATGAAATTATCGAGAACTTGTGAGACGGTGGTACAACTCTCAGCCGTAGAGACCTCAGAGAAGCGAGCAGCATGGGTGAGAGCTAGCGTCCTGGCCTCTACCTCCTCTACCTCTCGCAGGTGGCCCAAGTCACTCTTGTTTCCCAGCATCAGCACACTGGCTGACGACCGCCGACCAGACAATTCCTGAAAAAGTAGCAAAAGACAAATTAAGTATTTGGCATTTTTACCTGATAATTTTTTATTGCACAAAAATAAGTAAAAATTGCTTAAGAAATATGATACATGAAGTAACTGAATGTGTTTTAAAGTACTGATTGTCAAATGTTGCAATATCACCGACTCAAAACTGGAAGTTTTGAAGAGTGTGACAATTACCTGGAGAGTATTGGCGGCCCATCTGTAGGATTCTTTATCAGTAATAGCGTAGACCACTATGAAGGCCTCAGCCCACTGTAAGTGAGCGTCAGAAGATTCGTCACAGCTGGCCCAGGTGTCCATAATCTCCACTGGTTGAGGCGCCCCGTCTACCTGCAGCACACACTTGTACAGCATATCTGTAACAACACAGAACACCAACGTAAATAGTGCATTCTTGAAGTCGCAGATTTTGTCTACTCATTATATCTCGGACACATGTTTCTAACACGTTAGAAAAGTAACCGGTACAATTCAGCTGTGACCTTTATAAATTATTGTGAGATGTGATGCACTTGCGTCATTGCACAGGTTTAAATATAGTAAGCCTTAGAAAAAGCGAGAAACTTGTAAATAAATATTTTTCATAAATATATTCTGGTCATTAAAACAATTTTTAATGCGAATATTCACATGATGAGGTTTACAGAGAGTTTAAACTACCTTGTAATATTGTTGAAAATGTGTTACAATCAACACTTTGGAATATATATACCTGATTCCTGTATTATTCCATCGATGGTTCTTATAGATGTTTACGTTATTCAGTGACGGTTTTACAAATGATGAATGTCTTTTATCTACATATGTCTATAGCAACAGAAGTGAAGGAATGTTAGACGCCGTGTAGGTATAAAAATGTCATCATTATAACTTTCTTCAACAACACAAGAAGTGTTCAAAGAACTAGGCAAGTTTGATCCTAATAACTTCCATGTGTGAGAAACCTTTAGAACTGAAGTGAAACGAGAAAGAGTGTGTGCGTGTGAAACTTCTTGGATACATGTCTAAGTTTAGGTGTAGTGAAAGGGCACACGTCAATAGTTCCTAGCTATTTTTATGTACTGTGAATTATTAGTGCCCGAGTAAACAATTTCATTATAATAATAAACAATTCTTTTGATTTTTGTGCAGAGTCTGATTTTTTAAATTTAATTTCCTTGAAAATGTCACATAATCTGCAGAAACGTTGGCAATAACAATTATAACACATACACATTTAATATTTAATACAAGTTAACTTTCACATTATCATTATTTGACAATACGAGGAATATACACCAAAGAGAGATATATCTCAATACACATATACTGAGGGTTTAGTCCCTGTGAAAGAAATTAAAAAAATAATTGCTCTTAGTGTTTACGTTAATCGCGGCCCTATAGATTTTCGTTCAATCGACGGGCTTTAAAACAACTTAAGCGTATTATAAGAAATACAACAAATAATTATGATACAAGAGCTCAGTAAGAGACAACACATCTGGCACTTGTACTCCACGAGACAGTACATATGACACTTGTACTCCACGAGACAGTACATATGACACTTGTACTCCACGAGACAGTACATGACACTTGTACTCGACGAAACTACATATGACACTAGTACTCCACGAGACAATACATATGACACTTGTACTCTACTAAACAAAACACATGAAACACTTGTACTCCAACAAACAGCACATGAAACTTCTACCCCTAGGAAAAACAAATACATATGACTTGTATTCCCAGAAGTACACCAAATATGAGTGACACCTTTGTTTGATGAGACAGAACATATTACACTCGTACTCCAACAAACACAACACATACGAATGACATTTTTGCACCAAGACACAAACCATATGACACTTGTATCCTATAATTCATAACACTTGTATCCTATAATTCATAATACATATGACACCTGGACTCCTTGAAACACATGACGCTTGTACTCCATGGAACAAAACACATACGACAGTTGTACTCCATCATTCACAGTACATGTAACACTTGAGCTTCATGATTCACAGTATATATAACACTTGAGCTTACTGATTCACTGTTTATAAAGCGGACTGACAAGTTGTAAAGGCAACAAACATACTATGAGGGAGAGCGCCTCACCTGTATCTGATCTGTACTCTCCGATGAACCTCTTAGTAAGGTATCTGACGGTGAGGGCAGACTTGCCCACTTCACTTGACCCCACCACCGCCACTCTCAGCGGTCCACTTGGACTAGAGTTTCTGTCGTCTTTCATATTCACTCTGCAACTCTGGCCTCTACACACTACACTGCTTTTATTCACCGCGCCTTTTGTGCTCGTTGATCTTCTGATGCAATTTTTTATATCCTCTAATATCCACAGAGGAATGCAGGCAAGCGCTTGATTCCCGTTTGGAGCAATCTTGGATGATTTATCACCAACACAATGCACGGTTAGTGGCGGCAGTGTTGCTTTACTGCCTCCAACGGTAAGTCTCTCCACTATCACTCACTCAGCGAGGATGTTACACAAGAGATCACACCTGTTGGCTCCGCTAGGACAAGTGACAACAAGGAGGGGAGAGCCTGGACTGGTGCAGCTAGTCGAGTGGGTTGTATTTATATCCGCGGTTGGTTCCCCTCGCGCACGGCAGCACCACGCAGCTCCCTGTGACTGTGAGAGTCTGCTCCTGCCCGCCTAGCCACCAGTGGGAGGTTGCTGCTGTGTATTGATGTCAACTCCACTAGTCCCTCCCTCCCTCCCTCCCTCCCTCCCTCCCTCCCTCCCTCCTTCCTTCCTTCTTTCTATGCCTCCGTTCCTTCCTCCCCCTTCCTCTGCCTCCTTCCCTCCCTCCCATAACCTCTCTCTCTCACTCTCCCTCCTCCTAAGGCATGTAATGTAGTTTTAAATCGAAATCCTAGTGCAATAATGAATTTGCATACATATATTTATGTATGCATTTATGTATGTATGGTGTCCCGTAGCTCGATCAGTAGCGCACTGTACTCACACAGTGAGGTCCGGAGTTCGAATTCCCGGTAGGGATGGAAAACATTTGGACGTATTTCCATAAGACACCTGCTGTCCATGCTCACCTATCAGTATAAAATGGGTACCTGGGTGTTAGTCGACTAGTGGGTCGCATCCTGGAGCAAAACTGACCTAATTTGCCCGAAATGCTCAGCATAACAAGGGTTGTTGAGAAATGGTTTACCAGCTAAGGTTAAAGATTAAATATAGGGGGAACTTAGCTTGGTAAGACAGCTCATCGCTTGCACAGCCGCCCCTGCAGGCGAGGTCTTGAGAAGTCATAACCACTTCGCAACAGACTGTAAGAGAGTATATTATGTATGATCATAAATTACCCGTAGGGGGTGTTATGTCAGCATATATCAGACACTGATTGCTGACAACACTTACTTGTGTGGACTCAAAGGTCCACTTATCACCGGGGTTTATGATAAGTGACTAACTCGCAACTTTATACTCAATTGCACAGTCAATAGTGGTACATCACGAGTTAGTACACTTACCTGGGTATATGTATCTGACCCGTAGTTACGCCCGGATATCCGATGTCTTGATTGAAGAATAGTGTTCTTTAAAGAATGTCGCACTACACTCTGTTGGATCGCAACACTCGTTGTTACACTGTTCATCAATAATTATTCACACCATAATGTCACTAAAGAAGCTGATCACACTTCTCTGTAAGTGTTTATTGAGATTCTTTTGTGCAAAACGCGCGGAACAGTGTTCTTTGTTGGTTATCCCAGCACGTCAATGTCTCTCTCTCTCAGTAGGGTCAAAAGTAATCTGACCTCACAGCCTCTTAGGCCGCTGCAATGCCCCTAGAACATAAAGGAAAAGCTGACCTAGTACTTTTTGCTTCCTTGCCAAACTTCCTCCATGAAGCAAAGCAGAATGCTTGATTCTTGCTGTCTTGAGCATAGACAACAATGAACACTATCTTTATCATGGTAATAAAGTGGGAGCAGGATTTTCCTTAATTGTTCTGCTAAGAGATGGACTGTCTCTTATTAAACTACACTTTGCAGCACTGGACCCTTGCAAGGAGCGACGGTCGCTTGACCAAGTCACATACTCGTATTGCATCTGGGATCAGTTACTTGCTGTAGCAGTAAACAAGATGTTTGCCCCTTCTGAGAGGGCTGGGCTCCTCAGGGCTGAAAGGGGCTGAAGGGGGCTGATACCCCCGTCTTGGAGAAAATTTCTCCACAAGGGTCTTTCTATATAGTGGTAGGTCATTGATGTCATCTAGGCCTGTATACATTGTACATGTACTTGTAGAAATAATGATATTATGTATTCCTTGAAATATAATGTAGTTCAGATTTCTCTCTCCCTCTTTTTTTTTTCTCCTATATATTTAATTTGCTTTGCCTCGCTGTGATAATGGAGATGTCACCATAACAATTCCAATTATTTTGTGTATGAGACAGTCATGTTTGTTTGTGTGTGTGTGTGTGTGTGTGTGTGTGTGTGTGTGTGTGTGTGTGTGTGTGTGTGTGTGTGTGTGTGTGTGGTGTGTGTGTGTGTGTGTGTGTGTGTGTGTGTGTGTGTGTGTGTGTGTGTGTGTGTGTGTGTGTGTGTGTGTGTTGTGTGTGTACTCACCTAGTTAAGGTTGCAGGGGTCGAGTCCAAGCTCCTGGTGTGTGTGTGTGTGTGTGACATCTTGTTTCGATCGCCCACATGTGGAGCTGTGTACAGTTTGTTGCTCATTTAAAAAAAATCCGATATTTAGCAAAAATAAAAGCGTGAAAATATTGCGAGAAAACAGCGTGAAACCCTGGTTTGTGCTGACTGGCATGAAGGCCAGAGGAACCATAGCTTACCTAAAACAAGTGTAGGGTTAATGTGTTGACTTAGTGGTCACAAGGTAAGGGGTAACTAGGGTAAGGAAAATTTAGGGTCTAGTGAAAGTGTGAAGACAAGAGGCTGTGAGAGAGAAATAATGAGCACACTATATAACACTGAAGACATTACCGGCGGATAAAGTGTGCGGAACATAACATTCACCACTGAAGAGAATTACCCAGGAAACAGGTATAAGGAACACATTTAGTCTGCAGTTCGAGTACAGATCAGGGGCGAGGATTCGAATCCTTGGCAAGCTAGTCCTAAAACTAGCCGAAAAGAGTTCTAACCACTGTACTATCCTGGACTAATCAGAGTAGTCCAACTAGAAATATTTCCAGGTATATGTATAGGAATATTTCAATATTGTTGAGTGGTTAGAGCATTTATCTGCAAGCACTGGCTTACCTTGGGCTCGAATCTTGAACGTTACAAGAGTTGCATGCAATCGTGTTATGAGGATTTTACCAATCAGCATTTATTAAAATTACAGTGGGATGGGAAACAGTCAGGGGCAGTACCAAGGGGGGAAAGCCCTCAAAATTCCTTCAGCCCCAAGGTCCCTCAAATAAAAATAATAACGCTGTTTCTAGGCAAGTCCTCTAGCCAGCCCCACCTCCTCCAACCAGATTGCTACACCCAAATCCCTCCTACATAAAACTTCTGGCTCCTCTCCTGGAACGAGAGTAAGACAGAACATAGTCGTTCAGGACTTGTTTACGAACAAGAAGAGTACATTAATTAAACTAATGGGAAAAGAGGTGAATGGATTATATAAAAATAAAAGAATTGCCAGAGAGAGAGGAAGATCAACAGTTTTACAAAGCTTAGTTAATGTATTAAGTTCTCTCCGATTCTCCAGTTTTCCCATTGTATTACTGATACGAAAACGAAAATTAAGCACAACGGATTATCATATAGCTTTAAGAGAATGTGAAAAGACGTGATGAGTCACTGGACGTTGCTACTAGCTGGATATTATTACAAGTACGAAGATAATAGTTCCAGTAGTACATTAATTAGGCACATTGAATTATATGCAGCCTTGAAGAAAGAACGTATACCCACAAGATGAGTGATGGAACCTAATAAATTTGTGTTTTGAGTCAAAATAAAAAAATCGCGACAATTCGCATATCATTTCCAGCTTACTTTACAGCCTTTTCGTTTACATATAATATCATCACCTGACACATCAGATGTGTTAATATTTTTCTTAGAAAAGGATATGTTATTTTTAATCCATCCGTGGCACTCAGAACTTCTGATTAATTTGTTATCGGGATCAGATGTCAGCAGCCTGGTATTATTTGGGCTTCAAAAGTCTTCTTAATTTAAGAAGTCAGGTTTCTCTTGGACAGCCTTCTTTTTTATATACAGACGAAACACAACGTCCCAATCTTTGGACTCTGCTATATATTAATTCTAACCTTGATTGCAGAGGTGGCAAGAGTGAGGAGCAAGCAGAGGTACTCCTTAGAAATAACTTGATACTTCGCTACAAGCCACGTCAACAATGGCAATATATATTTATTACACTCGAAGCTACTTTTAATGTGATTTGATACCTGGAAAATATCGTTCTGTATGATTTTTTTTTTTCAAATTAATTATTTGTTTGGATTAACAGACTCGGTAACCCAGCTGTTCTCTGAACTGTATGCTATATAAATAAAAATTTCAAGAAATTCTCTTGCAAATGAGATTACCCCCTTCAACAAGATATCAGTAATATGTTTACAATATTTTCAACCTTGCATTACATTGGAGGATCTAATGTCACATAACTGCTACCGCACAGTCATCTTGCTGTCTCGTATTTTGTCAATATATCTGCATTTTTGGGAGGGAAGGGGGACAACTTGTACTCTCATAGCATGAAAATATTACAATTATCAAGACACTTGTATACGACATGTATGTGACATTTTTTACAGCTAAAGGGAATTACTCTGAAAATGTCCAAATGCAAATAGTGACATGGTGCTTGTGAAGAGATATGGAAAACTTCTGCAGACGCATGTTTCACTCATATGATCGCCCACTCCGTGGTGTATTTGGTTTCGTGTCCAAAATTAACATTACAAATTCACCTTTTAAAAAATCTCCTAAGCACCTTGATGTTAAACAACTTGCCAATGAACTTGACTCGCTTGTTTCACTGTGTTACATTCTCGATGCTATTCAAAATGACTCTCTTGAGAATATCGAATTTGATTATTATCTTAAATGGTTTGTACAAGGTTACCTCGTAATCTTCGTTTTCAGAGTGAGAATATGTTTCTTCTTGCATTTTTTCTTATTTATTATGTAGCTTTTATTGTTTTCCTTTGCACTCTTAAGTTCACTGTCAACTTTAATATATTTAGTGATTCCAAACCGGACACCCCTCTAAAATTTGTTAAGATAAGATAAGATAAGATTTCGTTCGGATTTTTAACCCCGGAGGGTTAGCCACCCAGGATAACCCAAGAAAGTCAGTGCGTCATCGAGGACTGTCTAACTTATTTCCATTGGGGTCCTTAATCTTGTCCCCCAGGATGCGACCCACACCAGTCGACTAACACCCAGGTACCTATTTGCTGCTAGGTGAACAGGACAACAGGTGTAAGGAAACGTGTCGAAATGTTTCCACCCGCCGGGAATCGAACCCGGGCCCTCCGTGTGTGAAGCGGGAGCTTTAGCCACCAGGCCACCGGGCCACTATGGTTTGAATGGTATGAATGGTTTGAAAAACCGACAAGTTGAAGATTGAGACACTTATACAGCATATGGGAATCTTCATTAAGGAAACGTTTCGCCACACAGTGGC